GAAGTAATAAAAATACTAGATATATAAATTTTCACTTGGAATAACTTTACAATCTTTGCAATCTGAACGATTTATTTTTTATAGGAAAATAATCAATCTGAGTTTTACTATATCCATTATTATAGGTGATGAGATGCTCATATCTTTTCTTAAAAAATGTATTATCAATTACAAAATCATACGCTAAAGAAAAACCTAATATGGTCTTACCACCTTCATTGGTTGTTCCAAACCCATAGCCATCATGTATGCTTTTAAAATCATCTTTCTACCAACATATCCATTCAAATATCCTCCAATAAAAACTCTTTCTTCAATAGATATATTTTGTATGAAGTCTTTTAAGTCATTTCAAAATTTTAATTTTGAATACATATATAAACTTACTTGAGAAGTATAAACACTTATAATATTAATAATCTTAGTGTTGACCTCTCTTTACCTCTCTTTTGTGCACGATTCAATCTGTCCCTTCTAATTGACCCGTTTGCACGGTGCTCTTTCGGAGGTCCACACTTAGCATCAACAATAATATTCAAAGCTATAATTCTATTTTCAATTCTATTAATTTTTATAACATTATCCTTCAAACTCTGATCTATAATCACACATACACCATTTCTAGTACCACTCATATCATAATACCTAAGTTTAAATCCGAAATTATTAATCGCCTTATCTTTCTCTCCAACCCATTTAGTTTTCTTAATGCATAAACTATTTATATGCCTATTAACTTAATATATACTTATTTCATTAATTTGCCTGTAAGGAAACACATTCCAAGATCCTATCCTAATTCTAGTTTCATGGACTAGTTTCTTTGCCTACATCCGTCCATGATATGGGAACCATTGCTTATTTAACACTGCAACCAAACACCGGTGCAACTGCCCTTGTACACTTCTTGTTGTATTTAGGTCATATAGCGCGTCGCTTACAGGGAACGCCCTAGCATTAACACAATATATTTAAAGATTCATGTCATGATTATTCGACAAGTTTTACACTGCTGTCGACTACCTAACGTAATCCTCTACCTGTCTTATCCAGAATTTGGGACATGACATGACAGTGTTATAAAAATTTTTTGGAGTTTATTCAAACGGAATTTAATTCAATAATTTTTACATCTTTGTGAATTAGCATATAATTTTATATATCAATTTGCTCTATTTGACTATTAGAACATATGCCATGTTTTTTGATGATTTTTTGTGAAAATGTTTTGAGGTATAATTTAACGAAATAAAATTTTCACATTACCTTAGGAAAGATTGGGTATTACATTTTCGAAGTTGCTAAGCTTTGTTTTAGTGAACTCACTTCAATAGGTTTTAGGCAAGCTTAAACTACTGGTTTCCTTTCTCCTAGAGTGCTCTTGTTTGGATTATTTCTTATTGGATGGAGGGACAAACTGTTCTATTTTTCAAATTTCTCTAACTTTTTAAACTTTCTCCTTGTTTTATTAAATTTTGTATTATTTTTCCTCGCAATTGCTCCTTTCATTCATTTGTTGGCTTCATTTATTCACTTCATCTATGCTCTAATACTGTGGATTTTGGTTAGCTTATGACTAATATGATCTTCTTTAACCTAATATTGACTTCTTAATAAGTAGCCCTCCATTTGTAAAACAGTATTTTCATCAATTTTGAACTCTTTCTTAGTCTTTCTGATAGGGAGAGGGATAATATTAATAGCATCATTTAAAGAATTTGTTATGACTAGTTTATTCTTATTTGACTTCTCTCTATGTTTTTATATGGTATTCATACTCTATGTTCTTTAATTTTTCATTGTTGTATTTTTTTTTTAATATGGTATTTTATTTGAATATTTCTTTGGGCTTATTATTGATTTCTTTGAGGATTATGAGTGGCTTTTCTCATGTGGGTATGATTTTGGGACTAGGACTTAGTTCTTTGATGAGTTTTTTCTTTTCCTTACTTGAGGCCATCCTATGTTTGTGGTGGCTATCATGCTATTCTATTGGTTGTTGTCTTTTCTTGGGTTGGTTGTTGTATGGTTGTGGCGTGTGGTTCTTCTAGGTCTATTGAGGATTATTTCTTTGCCACGTTGGTGCTTATCAGACATTGACTCAGGGTGGCTAGTGATGAATGCTTTTCTTCTATAGTGCCTTCATGTTGCGGTCGCTATTTCTTTGCTTGATGGTCATCAAAAGAGCTTGTTTATTTTATTCCTGTAATGGCTGGTTGATCCAATTTTCTTGGCTTTTTAGGGCTCCTTGCGCTCTTCTTTTGGCAACATTAATGCTTGGTATTTGGGTTCTCCTTTGGTTGCATATTGGCAATAATCCTTATATTTCGATTGTTCATAATGAGGCAATTTTTCCACTTTGTTGATTGCATTCCAAACTCAACTTCATGTTTGCAACTCAGCTTATTTTGGTTTTCCTGCATTTACCACATTTTAAGGGCAACATTGCAATCTCATTTCTTTTACCACCACTTATTCCTCTTTTCTTTTGTGACTAATTCTACAAGAAAACTTGGCGGTATAAGGATAGACTTTTTGAGTATCCCCTTAGCACAAACACACTTATACCATCACTACTACTATCACCATCATTATCGTACTCGCTCATTTGGGATGAATTCGTTCTTTTGGTAATGGTTTACTATGCAATGATGAGGTTGTTCCAAGCCTTTTTTTTTTAAAGTATTATTACCTCAAATTTTATTTTGGGGTTGTATTTTTAAATTTTTTGGTTCTATTTTGCATGCGTTTTGAGTCCTTTAATATTTTTTTTGCGCCTAGGCATAATATTTTGTATCATAAGGACATCGGGCTTTCGTGCCCCCTTGTACAATATTGTTTTTTAAAATATTTTCTTACATCCTAATAATTATATATATATATATATATATATATATATATATATACACACACACCCACACACACACAGAACAATAACAAAAACAACAAGTCTTTATCCCACTATGTGGGGATATATGTTTGTATGTAAGCATGCATTTTTAATCATGGTAAAATCAATCTTATAGTCAGCACAGCGATGTGAGTTACTTCTATGACACGAGAAAAATAAGATAGATTATCAAGCCTTTAGGAGGAAGAAGCAACATGCTAAAAACAATCATCAGGATTAGGATATGATATTTATATGATGAGTCTTTGGTAATTGTTAGAAATAGATATAGCAATAAATTTATTTTGAATTAAGCTTGTTTGTAACATTTGTGTCCTCATAAGGAGTTATTTTTCACATAAGTCTCATGCTAATGAATACATTTACTTGAGAAATAATACGAGGTTCAAGATAATTGTTCGTATAATGAAATTGTGGATGCATGATGGTGTGATTAAGTCACTGACTTGAGTCAAGCATGTTCTATGCCATAAAAAAATTTTGTATCTTTCAATGCTCTTAGTGATATAGGACATAAATTCTAAAGAGATGCTTTAGTACTTAAGATTAGCTAATGGCGTATTGGTTGTCATGCAAGCAAATGGTGTTAGTGGACTTATATTGTTGGGTGCAACTTTGGGTGGAGAGCTTCATTGATTTTATCTTCATTTTTCTAGAGCATCATGATATGAGGAAAAATAAGAAGGGTAGTGTTTTAGTTATAGCTTATGTTTTGGAACTATGGAATGGAATGCATAAACACTATTGAAGATGGTCAAATGGTCTAATCTCTTGTTCCGTTGTGCCCATGTCAGGACACACGATTGCAACATTTAGAGTGAGAAAAAACCATTTTGTGGGTATGAAAATGTAGGGAAAGGTGTATTTTTTGATATCAGTGGATCTATTTCAATGTGGAGCATATGCGCTTCTGAGATCTCTCATAGGTGTTAAATTCATGCGTTGTTTAGGATAATTGATGTTGTATAGTGTCACCTCTTTGTGGCTTTAGGGCTCGAGGACATTGGTTTAGATGGAGATATATAAAAGTTCTTGAATGTTCTGTCACATTGTTGAGTATAATGAAGATTTGTTACGCTTTATTTATTTTTTTTTTTCATCTCAATAATTTTAGTAGGACCATGAAATTTAAATCTAGTTTTTCAGATAAAAACAATTCATATATTTTTTGGGAATAAATTGAGCTGAAATTTCTATTAGAAAGCTTAGCATGTTTGATGATTTCAAGTAAAATTTAAACTAAATGTAGCTTTGAAATCACTTTTTGAAACTCCTACAAATAGTGGAGCAGCATAATATAGTGAGATTACCGGGGTAAGAGAAAAAGTTTTTTTTGTTCCTATATATGTATATTTTATCGGTCTTCTCTATAGTGGATTAGAGCCCTGTTCATGCCCCATGGATTTAGTCTTGTTTTGGCCAAATAATATAAATTTAGGTGTCTTGTTGTGATGCTCGATCTCTTTGTTACTAATTTATAGGTTCATCTTATTGGTTTTCTCGAATAAAATTGTAAAACATATGTACATGAAAAGTCCATTTGCAGTCTTTGCATTTAATAATAGTCTGGGGTATTTTGACTGCCTTATTGCTGCAGGAACCAAATCCTTAAAAAAATCTTTGTTGAAGATGAAGCCTGGAACTTGCACCATACTGCATAATAAACTACATACTTGTAACATGTTGCATGATGAATATCCCCATGCATATCTAGAATTTTTTTTCACCTGTAGCATCCTGCTGCACATTTGTAATTTCTCGTGTCATTGATGAAACAAGAGCCACTTCTCATTCTATATGCTTGTGCAAGTTGAATGCCGCAGTTTTTCCATAATTTTTGAAATAGAAATTGGTGTATCGGAAAGGAATGCTTTAATATTATTCATTAAGTTATTGAAAAGAGACCTGGACTTCGTTTGTCATGGCTTTCTTACCACTTTTTAAAGCAGCTTTTTGTGATTTTTGTACTAGAAAGTTGCTTTAAGAAGCGGTAAGAAAGCTATCCCAAACGAAGCCTTAATGTTAAAGCCTTTCAAATTTTATTTTGTCTTGAATACATCCATATAAAGTACTTTTCTCCTTTGGGCAGGATCTATTGGAGGACCCTTCCATCATCAGTGCCATAGACGAAGAAACAGAATTCAATGCATTAGTGGTATGTAACTTTTATTCTCAGTACTTGTTGCCTATGTAGTTGTTAAACACTACATCTTTAACAGTGCTTTCCAAATTATCTTCTACTTCTAGATAAGGGCGGAGCCATAATTTTTTATTAATCGGGGCATAAATTGATGAATTTTAAAATACTATCAATCTTTTTTGTATGATTTTTTTAACATTATATTTAATAGAACATAGTGAAATAATATTGATCTTTCAAGTATATTAATATTTATTTTAATAAATTATTATATTCTACTCATAAATTTATAACATACATTATATATATATATATATATATATATTTAACAATAAAAAATATTTTCTTTATAATTTTTAAAACTGTTATGGATTGTAGGGGTCAATGGGGGCCCATGAAAACTGTCGTGGGCTTTATGGGTTAGTGGGAGCCTATGCCCCCACTGTAGATCCATCCCTGCTTCTAGAGGTTTTTATGTCAAAAAAATTGAAGATTTTGCTTTTTTGTAGAATGTTTTTTTGGTAGTGAGAGATGTGGCCATTATTCACATGTTTTACCTAGTATCTCCTCTCATAAATCTTCTTGTCAGAGTTATTAGTGGGTGTTCATTGGAATTGGCCTAATTTCTGATTTAAGCTTTCAGAGGTATTATATGAGTAGATAAGCCACAATTCATTTGGAATGAACTTATACAACATAACTGTTAGGATATTTAAATTGATAAATGTGAGCAGATTGGAAGTCTGTATCCATATCAAACAATCTAATTTTTCATGGATAGACTAGAGAAAATCCTCATGTTTCACTTGAATTATAGCGCCTTCTTAATATGGGAGGGGAAGGATCATGCACAGATTCAGATTGTACCATAGTAGGATGTTTTACTTACTCGCTTATGGAAACCTCAAGTTTGGAGTAAAAAAACGTTTACTCTATTTGAAATTCTTATGAGCAATGAATTCCCACATTCCACGGGCTTCTTCAATAAATTTATCAAAGAACAAAGCAAAGCTCAAAGCACAGAACAAAGGGAGAAGGAACTCTACTTATTTATCAAGCTCTTCATGCCAAATTGGATCTCATCATCAGTTAAGTCCATCAAGCATGAAGCATCAATACGGGGACAGAAAATAAATAAGGCAAACAAAGTTGAAATTTCTTCCGCCTTCAGAAGCAAGGACCATCCTCTCATTCATAGATTCGGGCATAGTAATTGCAGGTCCATTTATTATCTTGCCCATTATTCAAAAGAATTATTCTCCTAGTATGTAGTTGCCACAATGTGAAATTTGGGCATAATGCTCCACATACTTATCAAAATAGGTCTAACTATAACAACAATCATTATAGTTGGAAGATAGACTAACTGGTTCATAGGTCATCCATTAAAGCAAACACAACAAATAATGGCAGTATTGTCTTTAAAAATGAAGCTAGTATGTCTCGAAAAATGTGTAATTCTTATAGCTTGAAATGAGTATTATTTTTATAGATTCGTTGACTAATCTACTATTATAAAACTATCATGCACCCACTCCCCAAAGATTCTCCATGGTGGGTGATTGGGGGCCTCTTGGAAATTGGGGTTGGAGCAAACCCAAGCTTCATCGATGTATTGTTGTGGCCTTTGGCGTGTGATTCCATGTGTGTTCATCAAATGTGAGTGCGTTTTCTCTTGCGCTTATCCCCATTTTGCATGTACATGCATATCCATTTCATCACTCTTGCATCCCTATACCCGAGCATTGATGCACGTCCTTCGACCCTTACGCTAGCATGTTGGTCACCTCCTTGTCCTCTGTCTCCATCTGGAGGCCTCTTTATGGCTGCTATAAATCCTTCTTGGGCAACGATCTGCCTTACATTTTCTTTCTTTGACCTCTGCTCTCCTCTTCATTCAGCTGTTTCTTTTTCACATTCTAGTTTTTTTTTGCTCGTCTCCTCTCACTTAATTGCGCCTCCTCGTCTTAGACTTCGTTAGCTTTTGCTCCCTATTCTTGCTCAGTTGTCTCCTTCCTTTGAGGTCTCAGGGTTTTACCTCTATTCCATCTTCATCACCCACTTTTCTCGTCGATATGATCTTTTCATGAGTCTTTCACCTTTGGCTCCTAGGTTTTTGTGGTCCTCTTTAATCCACTTTTACAACCTTTTCTTTTATCACACTGTATTTTGTGGTTGTTCTGCCTTTTGTTCATACCTCTCGCTCTTTTGTTAATGTGGTGGGTGGATTATTAGGTTTGATGTAGCACCTTTTGCTACAATATTCTGAATTTCTATAAATCGGATCTAATAAGTTGTGTTTGAATTTTTGGTACTTTTATTCTGCACGTCTGTGAATGTTTTTGTATGTGGGTGAATGCATAAATTCTGATTTTTAGTATGTTCCAAGAATCTCTGCATGAAATTTGAATTCTAAAAATTTCACTTGGGAGTGTCGTATCTCTAAGGGTGGGGACATGGCGGCCTTGAACTTTCTGTACTATGTTGGAAAATGAGATTTTTTATAAGGATGGCGGCCTTGAACTCTCTGTATTATGTCGGAAAATGGGATTTCTGGAGAGTGTAGTGGTGTTGGGTGGGTCTGTGCTGTGACAATAGATCTTGCTTGGGGCATTGCGATACTGTTCGGCAGTGTGGCAAGGTTGTGCTCTCTGTTTGGTTGAGTTTGTGAATGGAGCACTGGGGCATTGGGCAAAATATTTAAATAAATATCAATTTCCACTCAATTACGAAATGTCATTTTCATTTCCTCCGCTTAGGCTTGCTAGAGAGTGAAAGAGAGATTTTAATGATTGAAAGTTGATTTCAGATGGCTTCCGGTCATTTTTGTTAATCGGGGTAGTTCGGGAAGCTGTCGAGGTCGATGTAAGTTACGTTTTGCCTATCTTAGTTTTTAGTAATTTGGAGTTCTTAAGATTTTCTGACATTTTAATTAAAATTTTGATGAAAATGTGGGTATATTCGATCGCTTGATAAATTTTCATCGTGTAACATTTAATATGTTATAGTTAATATTTTGCACATTATGATATTTTATTTATGAGTTTTCATTTGATAATTATGAAAATAAATCATTTTAATGTTTTAAGAAAAAATATTATGACACTATAAATAGTGCCATAGTATAAAAAAGCTTTGACATATAGATACGACCAATGTGGGATAATTTGGCAAATTTTTGAAAATGTTAACTTTTGTGTACAAGTTTTCCCCAAATTCTCTTTTTCTTTGCTTCCAATAGAATATTCTGTGTAGCTCTATTATAATTTTGATATTGGTATTTTATATCTGAAAATGCATTTATTTTTATGCTTATATGTTTGAAATATGTAAACTCTAGAGAAATTCTTATGATCAGCGAATATTTTGATGTATTGTCTGTTGTGAAATACAAGGGCTTGAGAATTATAAATATTTGTGATGTTATGCATTGAGAGTTATAATGGCATGTTATTTGATATGCTAGTACAACAAGTTATAAGGGTCTGGATTCTGAATTCTGATATCTATTGGAAATGTATAAAGGCCTATGGGAAATATTCATGTAGCTGACCCCACATAGTGGGACAAAGGCCTTATGTTGTTGTTGTATTGTTTTGCTATTATTGATTGGTGTATTAGAGTTTTTGTTTGCTATTCCATAGATATTTCTTTATTCCGAGCTACCTGATTGATCTTTTATATGGAAGAATGTATTTTACCCTTTTTATTTCATTTATATAAATTATTATTATTATTAAAGCTTTTGATAGGTTGGATGTGACTGCTGAGCTATGATTGCTCATGCCTTCTTTCTCTATCTATTTAAGGTTAGGATAAGGGGCAAGGGTAGGGTAAAGAAAGGTTGTAGGTTGTAAAATTGATGTTTGTATAGGTATGTCTGGCAAGATTTTGATAGTCTTGACTTTTTCTATTTTGCTTTGTATTGTCTGTGCCATGCACTGCTTGCAAATCATTATTTTGATTGTAAATATTTATGTGATGAATAAAATATTTGTTTGATGATTAGTACCTTTGTATTTTTTAAAGTTTAGCAGCTTTGTTGTCTGTAATATGAATCACTTGAAAATTATGTGATGAGGACATTAAGCCTTGGAAAGTTTACCAGAGGCGAGGTCGACGATATACGACAACGATCGCGCCGATCTATTTTTGAGTCATTTTCTGTATTTGATTTATTTATGCACTTTTTCCATTTCTATCCTCACTTGAGGGCCTAGTCGTATGTATGCCCTAGAGGCAAGTTTGTTTTTTATTTTCCTTTCATTGTATAAGGCTATTTATAAGCCACTTGTTATTCTTTTGTAGATAATGAATGATTATTATGATAATTTTTGCATCCACGTGTTTGGAGAGATCTTGAGGGTTCTAAGAGAAAGCTTGGTAAAGTCCCTTGATGGAGGGCAACAGATCACCCACGAGACGCAGGAAGCGTCCAGGTTTGTGGTTATCTTTCTTTCTTTCTTCCTTCCCTTCCTTTTCCCTCCACCGCCGGTCAATCCTCCTTAAGAGCAGCCAGCGTAGCCCAACCCTTCCTCCTCCCTTAGGCCGTTGGCCTCCTCACCAAATTCCCTCTAAGCCGCCACCTCCACATCATCATCTAAGCCACCAAGCCTTGCCCTTCCCACATCCTAGTTTTAGTACCTTCCTAAAATAATGGTATTTATTTAGGAGGATTTTGAATTTCAAATTCTTTCCCTAAATAACTTACTCCATCTTAGGAAACCAATCCAATCTATTCAAATCTTAAATCAATTCAGATTTAATTCAATTCCTCACATTCATTGAACATAGGCACACTCTCTCCTCCCCCCTTTGGCCGCCCCCCTCTCCTCTCTCTTAATGAATTCTATCTACTAATGCTACCCAATCAAATCCCAATTAATCCCCTCACATAGGCTGCCCCCCCCCCCCCCCCCCCCCCCCCCCCCCCCCCTCCCTCTCCAAATTTCAAATTCCCCTCCATAACTTCCTTATTTGAATTATCTTAATTTAGGAAAGTTTACGAAATTCAAATCTTAAACCAATTTGAATTAAAGTACTTTCCTAAAATAAGAAAGCCTTATTTAGGAAGATTTTTATTCAGATTTTGATTGATTAAAATCTAAATTCATTTAGGGATTTGAATTAAATCCTCCTTCCCAAATTAGAATGCCAAGTTTGGAAAGGACTTCAGTCTCCAAATTAATTTCCTTCCTAGCCAAGCTTGCCGTCGGCCCCTCTCTCTCAAATTTGGACTCTCCATCACACCACCCATCAAGACTTTTATCACCTAGGATTGCTGTCCAGATTTCAGGGACAGCCCAATTTCCTGTCCAGAAACTTTCCAGAACAAAATAACTTGTTGCCCTGATGTCCAAAGCAAGCTAGCTTGCTGTCCAGCCATCCAGAGTCTGTCCTATTGCATTCCAAGGACTCCAGCATGAATTCGTTGTTGTCCAGCCCCCCAAGAAGCCACCTTTGCTTCCAAAATTTTCAGGAATTGCTGTCCCAGATTTCCTGCTTGCTATCCAAGGGTTCAAGTGTAATACCCTCAAGATGTTTAAAATATTGTAAGTGTTAACTTCCTCTAGAGGATAACTTGTTTCATTAAATTCTACTGTTAATTTCGAGTATATTGATATATATAGAAGTATATCGAAATATTAGTTTTATTTACTATTCAGATATTATTTACTGCTAAGTAATTCACTATAAATTGCTTAATAGACAGTAATTATGCTAGTAATTACTGTACAGTTTTCCACTATAGCCACTATAACATTCCACTTAGTTCCCTTTCAATGCATGCAGCGGCTGTGACTTAATCCTACGTCTGGCATTAGGAGAATATGCTATTGGAGGTATTAATAATATTATAATATATATAGATAAAGCACTACGGTCTAAAGCAGCCCGATTATCCCATTTCTTCCCTCCTTCCAGCAACGAAAATTCTCTGGAGTATGAAGCAACTTCCTGCGAGCACATCACTTGCTAGGAGACATTGGAAAGGCATGTGGGCTGCTGCTTGTTGGGGAAAAGATAGGAAATCAGTAAGGTGGGCTGCTGCTTGTTGGGGAAAAGGGTAGGAAATCAGTATGGTAAGAAGAATGGAAATTTTAGGAGAGGAAAAGAATATAATTTATGCTGTTCTTTGCTGCAAATAACAGCTGTGATACTGCTATTTGCTGGAAATGACAGCTACAAACAGTGCATTTGCATTTCTTAATTCGGGAAGCTAAAGTGGGGTGTTGAAATCAGGTGTTGTTGCAGTAGAATTGCTGAAATCAGCTAGAATTTGCTGAAATCAGTAAGAAAAGGGAAAAGCTAGGAGCAGTTACTGAAAACAGCCTCTAAAAATAGTAAGAAGATGAATTCAATTGGTTGTGCTTGAATTCAGTTTCAGTTAAGAGAGGGAGCTAAGGAGGGAGTGGGGTGAATGAGGAGAATTTTGGTAGAGGTGGTGTACAAGAGGAAAAGGAATCCGACTCTAGGAAAATCAATTCCTAGCAAGGTGAGATACCCAACGATGCATAAGAAATAGTAACAATTTTATAAAATTTCAATGTGATATTTTATCATTTTTAAGATTTCCTTTTCCATTATAGCATGTTTTTTTTAATAGTTCAATTGCTTCATATGTGAATTACACATGTACTTGATTCCAATTTATATAATCTTTGGATATGATTATGGAAATGTTCTTGAAATGAAGGAGAGTATAACTGCTTTTAAGTCATATGTTGGGGGATAAGCCTGCACTAGTAAAAAGGCGAAAGACCTGAAGAGGTAAGCCTATACTTTCAATTCTAGAAGTTGGGAATTTAGACTCAACCCTGAATTGAGAGAGCAAGTTCAATTCTTAAAGTTGGGAAGCTAGACCCAACCTTGAATTGAAAAGCTGAAAGAGGTGCAAAAGCTTATAGCCATCATTTGACTTGTTAAAAAAATGGTGTTGAACAATTAGTAAGATGAAAAGTACTACTATGTTTTCTTGTGCCCCATGTGGAAGGTGCTATAACCATGTTATTATTTAATCACTAATGTTATGTATTTCTTAATGGTTAATATGTTATTATTATTTCCTTTACATTGCTGGTGTATTTCATTGAGCCCTAGCTCATTAGCTGTGGTTATACTGCAGGTAAGGGAAAGGAGCCCGTAGGGCACTAGGCGAGAAAGAAGTGATCGTTCGTTTTTGGTGTAAATATGTTTTGGTGTATAAAGAGACCTTAGAGGAGATCTTAAGGATTTCTGTATAAACCTTTTTATATGTAAGTAAATTTCAAAAGTTTTAGTAGAGCTCTGTATTTGTTTTAATTAGGTTTGATGTTCAGTAAGGCATATTACATGCTTCTTATATGTTGAAGTCCTTCTCTGTTATACTCTAGTTGGTGTTAGAGGGTGAGTCAACTGGGGTGTGACATCAAGTCTGAATTTGTTGTTGGCTAGACTTGCTGTCTACCTCCTCTCAAGCCCTCAAACCTCCACCGGAGCTTTGTATCTCCTGTTCCTTTGGGTAAACTTCTCCACCCACTCTTATATCTTCCTAGTTTATTCCTCAATTGTGGTCTTATTTGATTCATGAAGATCTTGTTAATTTCCTTCCGCTAAGGCCTAGTATTTTAGAAAGTTGAGTGAGGGATTTTTTCATAGTGACTTATCTCGTTGTTAACGAAGGGATTTTGTTGAAGCTCTTCTATCTATGCTATGTTTGATCTAATGGCTATTTAAATGGTGTTAACTTTTATGTGTGTAACTTGGCCTAAACTAAATTCACCCCGCTCTTGTTTTATTTAATCGTTTATATCTCTACAAGTTTAATTAATATTGTTTCTAACAATTTAAGCGTGCAAAATTCCTATCGAAACATTGCCTAAGCATTCATAGTTAAACATCATCTGGTATTAGAGCATGTTTACACATTTAGTTGCCTATTTGGAAAACTTTTCTGATATGTTTAGTATCTAAATCGCATACTGCACATTTGTTATTTGTTTGTTTGCATATTACTTTCTTTCACTTCTGCATAGTTCTGAGTCGTCTTAGATATTAGGATGGACACTGAACAACTTCACCGGACTCTAGATCTGTTGGTAGGTCAAATAAACACTATTAGCCAACAACTCAAGGAAAACCAAGCTGCGATAATTGAACTCCGTAGAACTATAACTGATCAATTTTATACCCTAGATCGAGGTAGGAACCACCATATTCCTTACACTCCATCTAGACCTCCTTCCATATATGGGGACGATAATTTTCTAGATGAGGGACCACGTTGTGCCCCTTATCGAGCTCCCCACTATAGACATGATCATAACCTTGACCTAGATATTCCAGTGATGAAAAACATCAAGGTCGATGCCCCAACCTTTGATGGTACCCTCGATCTCAACACTTTCTGGATTGGATTAAGAGTATGGATAGTTTCTTTTAGTGATACATAGTAAGTTTGCTGATGTCTTCCCTTATGATCTTCCTGATTAATTACCTCCGTTTAGAGACATCCAACATGCTATAGATCTTGTCCATGGAGCCTCAATACCCAAACTCCCCATAGCCGAATTCGCCTACAATAACTCTGTGAACTGTTTCACTAGATTAAGTCATGTAAAAATTGTTTATAGGTACAAACCTAGGTAGATTTCATACCTATGTATTCTAAGTATAGGATTTCTGAATCTACATCTTAATTTCATGATCTGTATAAGGAAATTGCACATAAAATTAAACAGAGCAATATTAATTTTAAACAACATGATGATTTTGAACTAAGATTTAAAACTTTTGAGGTTGGTGGTTCAGTGATGGTGCGGATTTATCCGGAATGGTTCCCATAAGGAACAGTTAAAAAGTTGCAAGCTGAAAGTGCGGATCCATTTAAAATAGTCCATAAAATCAATAACAATGCGTACGTGGTGGATTTGCCTATTGAATTCAACATTAATATCTCTTTTAACATAGAAGATTTAGTAGCTTTTGAGGGTCCAAACCCACCAAATCCCTTTCAAATTAAGCCTTGTGTAACCCCACCCTTTGAGAATCCAAGCCTACCTCCACTCCCAATTATTTCCAAATTACCTATAATGGAGAAGGTTGACACAATTCTAAGTGATGACATTATTTCCACATAAGAGGGCGGACAAAAAAAATATCTGATAAGGTGGAGAGGTAAACCAGAGTCAGAGGATACGTGGCTCGAGCACGAGGAGCTTCAGCAAATTGACCCAGATGCACTAGAGTTCTATGAAAGCACCCAGGACGCGTACTCAATGGAGTCGAGCTTTTTCCCACCCTTGGAGAATGATGAGGACATCATGCCTTGGAAACTTTCCCAAACGCGGCGTCGACGATCTATGGCCACGATCGCGCTGATCCATTTTTGAGTCATTTTATGTATTTGATTTATTTATGCACCTTTTCCATTTCTATCCTCACTTGAGGGCGTAGTCGTATGTATGCCCTAGGGGCAAGTTCGTCTTATATTTCTTTTCATTGTATAAGGCTATTTATAAGCCCCTTGTTATTCTTTTGAAGGTAATGAATGATTATTATGATAATTCCTGCATCCATGTGTTTAAAGAGAGCTTGAGAGCTCTATGAGAGGGCTTTGGTAAAGTCCCTTGGTGCAGGGCAACAGAATACCCACCAACTGCAGGAAGCGTCCGGGCTCGTGGTTATCTTTCTTTCTTTCTTCCTTTCCTTCCTTTCCCCTCCACCGTCTGTCAATCCTCCCCAAGAGCCGCCGGCATAGACCAACCCTTCCTCATTCTCCCTTAGGCCGCCGGCCTCCCCACCAACTTCCTTCTAAGCCGCCGGCCTCCCCACCAACTTCCTTCTAAGCCGCCACCCCAATATCATCATTCTTCTCCTACTTTCGGCCAACCACCACTTTCCCCACCCGAAGCCACCGGCCACCAAGCCATGCCTTTCCCCCACATCCTAATTTTAGTACTTTTCTAAAATAATGGTATTTATTTAAGAGGATTTTGAATTCAAATTTCAAATTCTTTCCCGAAATAACTTACTCCATCTTAGAAAATCAATCCAATCGATTCAAATCTAAAATCAATTCAGATTTAACTCAATTCTCCACATTCATTGAACTTAGACACCCTTTCTCCTTCCCTCTTTGGTCGGCCCCCCTCTCCTCTCTCTCTTAATGAATTCTATCCACTAATGCTACCCAATCAAATTCCAATTAATCCCCTCACATAGCCGGCCCCTCCCCCTCTCCAAATTTCAAATTCCCCCTCCATAACTTTCTTATTGAATTATCTTAATTTAGGAAAGTTTAGAAATTCAAATCTTAAACCATTTTGAATTAAAGTACTTTTCTAAAAGAAGAAAAGCTAATTTATTCAGATTTTTATTCAGATTTTGATTAATTAAAATTTGAATTGATTTAGGGATTTGAATTAAATCGTACTTCCAAAATTAGAATGCCAAGTTTGCAAAGGACTTCAGTCTCCAAATTAATTTCCTTCCTAGCCAAGCTTGCGGCCGATCCCTCTCTCTCCAATTTGGACTCTCCATCACGCCACCCATCAAGAATTTTATCACATAGTATTATTGTCCAGATTTCAGGGATAACCTAGTTTCCTGTCCAGAGACTTTCCGGAGCAAAATAGCTTGTTACCTTGATGTCCAAAGCAAGCTAGCTTGTTGTCCATCCATATAGAGTCTATCATATTGCTGTCCAAGGACTTCAGCAGGAATTTGTTGATGTCTAGCCCCTTAAGAAGCCATCGTTGCTGTCCAAATTTTTTAGGAATTGCTATCCCAGATTTCCTGCTTGCTGTCCAAGGGTTCAAGCTTGAATTTGTTGTTGGCTAGCCTTCCAAGAAGCCACCACTTGCTGTTTACTTCCTCTCAAGCCCTCAAACAACCACTAGAGCTTCGTATCTCTTGTTCCTTTGGGTAAAGTTCTCCTCCCACTTTTATATCTTCCTAGTTTATTCTTCAATTTTGGTCTTATTTAATTCTTGTAGATCATGTTAATTTCCCTCCGCTAAACCTTGTAATTTAAAAAGTTGAGTGAGGGATCTTTTCATAGTGGCTTATCTCGTTGTTAACTAAGGGATCTTATTAATTTCCCTCCACTAAACCCTAAGGGCCTGATTAGGTGTGATTGATCTTAATGCTTAAATTAAAATTCTGCAAAATTGATTTGTTGTGTAATTATGTGTTTATTTATTTTCACTTGTTGTTTATTTTGTTTGTTTTTGTGTGTTTAGTTTTGTGTTTTGGGTTTTTTTTACTGGAAGCATGTCATTAGATTTAAGGTGATTGATTTTGAGAAGATTTTTTGATTATCATGTCTTGTTTTCTAAGTTCTTTTCGTACTGTATGAATTTTGTAGCTTGTACATGATAGGTTTCTGAGTTGAGCGTACGAAACTTAGTTTTTCAAAAAATTTCATATTGTACGATAATGTCATCATACTGTACGAGTGGGGATGATTTTCCAGTTAATGTCAGCTATTAATTACAGATCGTACGTACGAAATCGCATTTCATCTGTACGATCCTGTTGTCAGTTTCTGTAGGGGACGAACCTAATCTTCATTAAACGATCTTTATTATTCTTATCATCCCGGAAGAACACATGTTCGTCTGTACGATCATATGGTCAAAAAGTGTGTACGAAAGGACGCCTCGAAAATGACGTTTTATGAAAAGCTGTTTCATTTTTGGGCGTATCCGCTCGTATGTACAAAATTATTTTTGTCCTGTACGATTTTAAATTGTACGTACGATCTAAATTTCGTACTGTACGATAGGTCATTTTTTTTAAAAAAATAGAAGGGTCTTTGGATGCATTTTTCATTAATTTCTCATCCGTTCCAAACATTCTAGAGCCCACATCTTAAGAATGGCAAGTAGTAGCAAATAGCCTCACCTCTCTAAGTGATATTCCTCTAGATCTGGTAGGGATAAGAATTTTTTGTTGAAAGAGAATGATGATGCTTTCTTTAGGTATTCTGCTGCAAAAATTACCCCTTCCCGACTCCTCATTCAGAGAGAGAACTATTTCTCTATCATACCCCTTTTCGCCTCAACCCAGTTGTCGTTTATCCTAACTCTCATCTATGCCTACCATAAAGAGACATTCCAAACCTTTCTGGCTAACTTGAAAGTAAATTACGACCACACTAGGATTACCTCCTATGTTCTCAAGCAACGAGTAGAAATTATGAGTATTTATGTTTGTTGTTGAGAGGTATTTATTGTGATTTCAGTGATTTTCTGGTTGGTGATTGATGTGTTATTTTTGCATTTCCAGGATTATGTTATGTGTCATAATGTTAAATGGAAAAATGTGTGTATGTATTTTGAATGATCTATGAAATGATGAAATGTTGTGTTGATTTGCATTGAATTTCATTTCTTAAAATGCCAATTTTCTCTTTTGAAAAATCATTTGTGATTATTTTTTGGATGAAATTTTGAATTATTTTGTTCTATAATTTAATTTTCTTACAAAATTTAATCTTTCAAAATTTAAATTAAAGAT